GCCAGGAAGGCCAAGTTTGCGAAGCCAACGGCTTGAGCATAATAATGCGGTTTCGATGGTTTTCCCGGTTTGACCTATGAGCGGCCGACGACCGAGCGACTTCGAAGACGGACCTTCGATCCCGCGACAGCACTCGGACATCGGTTGAAGAGTTTGGACAGCAACGGCGCACTCCTTGTATAACATATTTTTGCGGACTACATTTTACCCAATTTGCCGGACCATCTGCGATTGTCGCTTCTTCAGACACATCACGGATATATCAATTCAAAGCTCATTTCTCTACACGGACTCCTCATCGTCTCTTCGCGGTTTATTCTTTGCATATCATCGCTCTTTGGGCTCACATAGCGAAGCTTTCGCGTAAACATTCATTCCGAAAGTTCTGAAGTCGCCATCAAAATACATCCATCCGCCCTGGCATCCGCGCCTTCTAACAATCCAGCCGCGTGAACAGTCGACGCGTTTTGGAAGCCAGGCATAGCTTATCATGCCTTCCGAAGATGCAACAAACTACTCGGACAAGTTGCGGTTGCAAAGTCGGCGTTTGCAACATCATCAACGCTTGCAAGCTATAGTTGCCTTTCATCGACAACCCGTAATGCACCCTACGCGGTTCAAGACTGCAAGTATCACTTATGCAGTCAACATATACTACTGCGATATCCATGCAGTATTGACAGATCAACAAATCTACAGCAACTTCATGTTGCTTACAATACTCATCTCCAAGCACGCCTTCTCATGTGCCACTTTCGTGATGCTAGTGCTGTCAAACGCCACAAAAGGTCGTTGCATATTCCCGACCTCGGTAGCTAAACGCGATCCCCGCACGTAAACTAACACAACCAAAGGGGGAAAAGAACGCTTAGCAGTCGTCACCGTTAAATGGTGCAGCCCACTAAGGGAGTTTGTGGGGATATTTAGACGGTGGCAGTCCCCGCGCGTAAATTCCGCGTTCATGATCTGCATATGCCGTGTTGCCTTTTCGCGCTTTGTTGACTATGACTCTTTGTCCTTGATTTCCAGACTGAGACGACAAACTCGATAATCGGGCCGCCAGACCATTTTACCAACCTATTCAGGATCTTTGAAAAAAGTGCATGACTCGGCATTCAGAAGTCGGAATCGGACAAGAGTCGGAGTAGTCCTACAACCGGCACCGCTTGAAAGTACATGGGAGGGAAAACACTCATAACAAGTGTTACACATCGAAATAGCCAGAAGCAACGATAAAAGATCGCGCGAAGGGGCTCGGAAGAGGAGTCAGAGACCGTCGAGAGTTTCACATAATGTCTCAATCAGATGTGGAGGAGAAACATGCCATCAAAGACAAAGCGGTCTCTCAAGAAGACATCAGCCGACCTTCATCTTCCATCCACGATGAACTCAATCAACAGAACGAACCAGTGCAAAACCGTGAGCCAGTGGGGGACAAGGAGGCGCAAACAGATGCTCGATCAACAATGACCACAGAGTCTGCCATTCCTCCACCTCCAGATGGCGGGCTTCACGCTTGGCTGAAGGTCTTTGGAGGATTCATGATATATATCAACATCTGGTACGTCAAACTTCGCTCTGATCACGCTCGTCTCCTTAGTTGCATACAGCCATCACGGACAACCATAACTAACACTAACAACCACACCAGGGGCTTCACCCTAACTTACGGCGCCTTCCAAACCTACTACCGGACCACCCTTCTTCCATCCTCCTCACCATCCGCAATATCCTGGATTGGTACCGTACAAGCTTGGCTCCTAATCGTCATCGGCGTCCTATCAGGCCCGCTCTTCGATCTCGGTTACTTCCGCAGTATGCTCTTAGTCGGCAACGTTTTAGTTGTGCTGGGTATTATGATGCTCAGTTTGAGTACAAAGTACTGGCAGGTTTTCTTGAGCCAGGGTCTTTGTATGGGATTGGGCGCAGGATTGTTGTATATACCTAGTCTGGCTATGGTGGGGGTTTGGTTTAGTAAGAAGAGGGCGGTTGCGCTGGGAATTGTCATGAGTGGGATTGCCGTTGGTATGTATTTTTCCTGCTTGTTTCGTCAATCCAGGCCCTTGTGCGGAGAGAAAAATTTGGAAGGCCAGAAAAGAAAACCTAGATGCGACGGCGAGTTAACATATCAAATCAGGTGGTGTGATCTACATTATCATGTTTGATCACCTTGTTAGAACTGCCGGTTTCCCTTGGGCTATTCGCGCCATAGGGTTCGTTGCCTTAGCCGCAGCTCTCCTTTCCATCCCCGCTCTCCTCTCCGGCTCCGCGTGGCTCAAACACAAACGCAAGCGTCGCGCTCTCTTCGACAAAACCGCACTCCACGACCGTCTTTTCCTTATCTTCACCGCGTGCTCTTTCAGTACTTTTCTCGGTTATATTGTACCGTATTTTTACATTCCGACATATGCGCGCGAGCGGCTGGGTAGTAATGAAAGCACAGCGCTGTATATGCTAGTGTTGGCCATCGCAGGGAGTTTCTTCGGCAGACTAGTCAGTGGCGTGTTGGCGCATTTTCTGGGCGCGATTGTTACATGGGCGCTTTGTGCGTTTTCGAGTGGGGTATTAGCGTTGTGTTGGATCAGCATTGAGACGGAGAAGACGTTCATTGCTTTTAGTATACTATGGGGTATGTTCTTTTCGCTACTCGTCAACGACACTACTGACACACAGCATCATGGATCTTGGCTGACAGTGACTCAGGCTTCTTCTCAGCGGCTCTCGTTACGGTGCCATCTGCTGCTTTTGCCAACATCACGCCGGACCTTTCGCGGTTAGGTACTAGGCTTGGTATGAGCTGGAGTGTGTCTAGTATTGCTTCGCTCATTGGTGCGCCGATCGCCGGGGCTTTGCTCAAGAAGACGAATGGGCGGACCAATTTCATTGGTGTGCAGGTGTGGAGTGGTGTGTGCCTGATGCTCGGGACCTGCTGGTTGGTGGTGCTCTGGATAGTTACTGTGAGGACGCAGAAGAAAGGCTGGAGAGTCTAGTAATGGTAGCAAATGAAGCCTCAGGATTGCGCTTTCAGCTTGCAAACGGGACACTGAAGTCCGATCTTTCAATGATCTTGGTATCTTGTGTCGTACTGCATCGGTCTGCTCAACGGGCCGTAGCGAGAGGATGTTGTGGCTTGCTTCCTGACTACTGTGTTCTAACCACGTGCTACACGTGTGTTGTGGTGTCGTACCGATGGCGGCCCGCAATCGGTCCTATATCCTGGCCCGGGTTAACGACAAAATGAACGTCAACGATACGAGAACTTATTATTTGCCGGCGGTAGTAGACGCCCTTGAACAAGCTGGACGTTATACTTTTTCCCATCTGCAAGACCCACAGCGGAGATTTTAGATCGGCGGCTGAAGACGCAGCGAGCTCGTCGGCTTGAATCTCCACACGGAAATGGGATAACCTTGATACACAACGAATCTGCGACACAACACCGTAATACAGCTCTGGATGAAGGAGTAGGTTCTAGTCATACGCTCGCTCAACGTGTGATCCGCCTGAAAATCAAGGTGTGCTTGGGGTTTGGCTAGAAAAATTGGATCACCTTGACATACCCAACAGATCCTTCTGCACTGGAGGCCTTACAAAAGCAAAGAGTGTACGAGAATGGGAGGTTGAGATTGGAGGTGTTCAGCTGGCGATTGCAAATTCCTGCAAAAGTCACTCGATCACGGCTCCACCCACCGTCTAGCCGCTTTAGAATACTGCACCCTGTGGTGCGCTTCACTTGCTTGATTCACTCTACCGGTGAGATCTTCGTAGCAAATCTTCCACATCTTGCCATCGCTGACACTAGACAGCGTCGCTTAGCGTTGTATACAAAACGTGTGGATCCTGGGACGCCGTGAAACGTGCGAACGTGCGATCCTGCACCAAACCCTTGCTACTTAGTAATCATAATGTCATACCGTATAGCATTGGTGGGGATCGGGTCGCCGACCATGATCTAACGTTGCGCCTCGCGCTAATGGAAGGGCTGAGAATAAGAGATCTCGAAACGAACATGTCGATTTGAGCTAGTGAGTATCCTTGTCTCGCGTGGGGTTGTTGACGTCGCAGCATCGTTCCAATGGCTATAGCACCAGCAAATTACCACGTATATCACAAGAAAATGACGTGAATGTGTAACACTTCGACATCATACACCGTCTTCCTACGCGATGCGATCAGCATTGCGCCAACTGGCGTATTGTCGCAAGTGTCGAAATCATGAACAGGGTGTAAGTCTTCTACTGGGATCATTATGGAGGATACGTGAAAACACGTGTGTCATGCTTGCTGATTCGCTATCTAATCTTCTAACAACTCCACACCGCGATTTATACTTTGGGGGTCGGAGAAGTCTGTCCCATCGCTGCTGTTGACGATGACGATCTAGTCCTCAGCCTGCTTGGTGACAGATCCGATTAGGCCACCCGAAGACCCGGAGACCTGGTCACCAGGCCCACCTGCATGGCAGCGTGGTATCACATGAAAGCCAGCCCATCGATACGCGAAACCGCCATGGGCGCTTACGCCAAGGAAGGACTACATGTATCATTCGGCCTGTATACGGTCCTATAGTCGGATAGAGCCGCATGCAAAGCGTGTTGATATAACCACTAAAGAGCTTGGCATAGTATGCTTGCTTATCTGCGGTTGCAGTCTGTATGACCATAGTCCAGGTTCAAAGTTGATAGACTTGTCAAATGGGGAAATATGCACGAGAATCTGAAACCAAATAGTTCAGCGCTTCTGCAGCCGAACATCGTGCGGATAAAAGCCGTCTTGGTGTATAGAACGCGAAGCAATATTACCAAGATGAGATAATGCTCCGTTACCATGCTCGCTTTAGTTTCTTAGTACATGGAACGAAACTGAACGGCGGATTGCATGCTCCCCAATAACGCACTCGCATACAACAGATGTGTGAACTTGTCATATTACTACGTATTATATTTCTTTTGTGCTGCCGAACACATCTCCAGATGTCAAGCGATTTCCTAACGACATGATCATTCGCCAAAGCGACTCCGAATCCAATTCTGTAAAGGGTATCAGGGCTGTCATGTGTTAGAATTTGCTCTGTCATATGGACTCCATCAAGCTTACTCTGTACGACCCATTGACCACCATGGGTTCGGCTCGCCCCACCACGGTAGTATCCGTATCCATGCGTACATGCAAGATCATGCCCATGTGCTCTCGTCCGTTGAGTGTGTTTGCCGCGTGTTGCGCCAGGTCCTTCGACGCAAACTTGGCTGTTGCCACACCCTTGAAGACACCAGTCCTGCTGTCCTTCATAAGTTGTATATCAATGGCGTAACCGACCGTCTGCAACAATAGTGCATTGACATCATCTGATGTGCACTTGTAGCTCAAGTTACGAATGAAAATGCCGCGGGCTTCTGTCAAAACTGCTCCACCCTGGACATTCACTGGCATTCCATTCGTACTAGTCGAGTAGACTGGTGATGTCGGCAACGCATAAGCTGGGTAAACTGGGGCAGGGGCGTATGCTAGTTGCTGTGGGGAATAGGCATGCATTTGCGGGTGCATCGCATACGGGTACCTGGACTGTCCGGCCCCATACGGCGTTGACACCGTAGTGGTACTCGCTCGGCCGCCACCCAGCTGATGCACTCTTCCGATGTCGATGCCGCAACGCCCAGTCGAGTGGCCTCCTTCCGGTACTTCCGGAAATAATGTGGAGCAGTTGCAGCGCATCAACCGGTAACCGTCACCCTTACGGCTGGTTTCCCAAACATGCACCAGCATGCCTTTAGATCGGTAGTAGACTTCTACAAAGAAGGTTAGCGTATGTTCCCTGAGTTTCATCCCTCCAGCTACCTACTGTAGACTGCATCGGCATCTTCCCTGTCCTTGAGTCGACACCAGCCCTGTATTTCGCCTCGTCGTTGACCCTGACTAGAGTATACATCAGCCCACCCAGGCTGCTCTTTGACCACTTTGCGAAGATGATCCTTGAATTCTTGCCACCCAGTCAAGTAGGGAGCATAACGTGTAGTGCCAGATACGACAAGCAAGAAGTCTTCGTCACCTTCTTTCCGAGATACTGTGTATGACATTATCGTATATGGAGACGGAAATTTGCAGATGAGGTATCTTTGACACCAGCAAGTAGCCACAGTGTGAAGTTATGAAGCTATGGCTGATCGCAACTGATTGTGCAACGAATTGAAGCCAAAAGCTAGAGCAATGTCTGAAAGTAGTTGTGTATGTTGGAAGATAGAAGGAGAACGATTTGGAGGATCGCGATAGACATCATGTAGGACGAGATCTCTATTTCTACTTTTAAACCATGAGTCCTCCATACTCTATAGTGTCCGATATCGTAAGTGTAAGGATCCAGGTATCCTAGTCGGCAAACAACCAGATCGCGCATTTTGGCATGGAGCCATGTAGGAAGATTCCCGCTTCCCCGCGCCACGATCTGGAGCTGACAATGGATCCATGGTGTGGGCGCCCGAACTCCTGTGTGGCGGCTGTAATGCGGGATCTGACGCCGCTAACGGGACTGCCCTGCGCCATCGGCCCTTGGTCACAGCGTCATCAACTTTTTTTGGAATTCGTAACCGTGCCTATCATATGCCCTGACTGTCTATTTACGCTCGTTGATCGTCGAGGCTGTTGCAAAGTAATTTCATCTGGCGTGGGGTAGCACGTGTTCACTGACTTCGAAGATCAAAAACGAATTAGTATCTCTGCATCCGGTATACGAGACATATGCTTGACGTATTACTCTTAGTAGAGTGTCTGCCCTTGGAGATGATAGGCTTTGACGTGCATATGTTGATGGAAGCGCTGCAGTGTGCCTCGGGTGCTGCCGTGGTTACAGGTCCTGTCACTATACCCAGCCCTTGCTGCATTGTCTGTGATTCATCATCTGCACGTGAAGATGCAGGTGATATTATCCGGAACGGCCCATTCAATTGCATGCTAGTTCTGTCCCGTGGGATAGAACACGGTGTTGACCGCAGAATCATATCTGGTTAAGTCAGCAACATGCATTCGATGAGGCGCTAGCGTAAACGCAGAACTAGATACTGTTATCTCTACTGCAAGTGTTGATAAGATGTTTCCATGTTCTTGAATAGGCTATGTACCCTTGATCAAGATGATGTTGTGTACAGCAAAATCAATATGAGGTCCAGATGATAAGCTTCTGATCGAAACCGCCGGAGATCAAATACTCGACCTTCTTGTTGACGTCTGATTGATCAGAGCTGGGTCCTACCATTTGGCCTGACCAGAGGCATCGTAGCTTTGATCCAGGTTCATGTGCCTTCAATGATGAGATCAACTTTCCGCTCTTGGTCTCGATACCACGAACTACTCCATCGTCAGAGCTCACATATACTCCAGAGCCGTCAGGACGCCATACTAGGCGCGGCGTAGAGTAAGAAGTTTGTGGTGCTAGAGTGGAAACGTTGACTAGTATAGCTGATTCTTCTTTGTCTGCAACGAGCAGTTCAGCCCTGGCTTGCGACGCTTGTGTCAAGGATCCATCCGGTCCCGAAGTAGTTTCTGTATCCGATACCGAAGATCGGGTAGGAGGAAGCAAAAGCTTTACTATCAATAGCTTCATATGCGGTGTACTAGAAGTTGCGATCGCGACAAGGTATGGATTCGTGGGGCAGACCTGTACATCGGATGGCGTAAATGCGACCCACGCATTGGAATGTGGAGCGAGATTTTGCTTGCCGATCAAGGTGAACGTTGGTGACTCTGGGCTCGGCACAGCGTAATAATGTAGGAATGTGGAGTCTCTACGGGCGACAACCAGGACTGGCGTACTATCTCCCGGCAAGCTGACGAATACGGTCGATTCAGGGATGCTCGGTAATGTCAACGTGGCTATCGGATCTCCCAGGCGTGAGTGTTCAATGCTGCTATCGATTTGGTATAGGACTACTTTAGCGTCCCATCCTGCACTAGCAACAAGCATGGATCTGCCTTCCGAAGCCCAAGTGGACAATTTGACTAAGTACTTTGAGTGGTCTTTACGTTGCTCCAATACTTCGTTGGCCGCTGTATCAAACAGTGTCAACTTTCCAGACATTGAAGCAACGAGTAGACGTCTGGAGTCCACTGGAACGACGTCTAGAGTTGGTGAGTCCTGGAAGTTGGAAATAGTATGAACACAGTCAAGCGCATGTGAGCTCGGATCCAACAGGTGCAGTTGACGATCGGCCGTAGTGACGGCCACATACTGTTGGATCTCTGCCGTTGATGGTAGCATGAGATCGAGAACCGACACACTGAGTATGTTGGAACGATTCGGTAACGACTCCACCACTCTCGGCTCAACAGGCGCCTGGACGGTCCATCCTCGCTCACTATCGTCGACCCCAAGCTTCTCGAAGTTTAGGCTGAGATCGAATGTCTTCTTTTCTTGCAATATGGACTCTATTGTGATCGTACTACCAGAAGCTGAGCCCGTGTCAGAAGGTAGGTCAGCTTCTTGCATGAAGCTGTTCAAAGTCTGGCTTAACGTTAGTACCTTCCTATAGTCGAGGAAGGGATGACGTAACCTGAGTGTACCCATTTGCTCTCAGGTACCGCGCAACGAGTTCGGCTGCAGATGGAAGCATATTTCTAACCGTCTCTCCTCTCGGTCGCTTTGTTACAACTGATGGCGGCTGATGGCAAGGCTGATTTGTCGCACATAGATGTTGAGGGGTGTTGGTGGAGGAAGTGGCGATGGCCGAGCTAGCCCCGTCTTATCGATAGCGCGACCGCTAACCATCCAGCCCCCCACACGATCTTGCAGAAGTTTCAGTAAATCACAAAGCATAGTAATCATACATCAATAAATCTACTTCTGCAATGGAGGCAAGTGCTATTGTGTGTGTTTTGATGATCAATCTAACATTAGTAGGAGAGGAACTCGGTTCGCGAAAAACTAACGGAAGACTTGGTGGCGCTCCAGGACACTACAGTCGAAGAACCGTACAGCATAGTATGCCGTCTCAGGCTTGCAAAAGCATACCGGACACTTGGATACCCAGACCTAGCCGTAGGAGATGCTTATAAGGCCTTGATTTTGGTAGATGAAGTAGTCGAAGAAGGCGAATACCATGAAGAGGCTTTGCAGGCAGCTTGGACGGATGTCGTCTCTGAGCGCATGGCAGACCTGGACCTAGACGATGAGACGAAAACTGCCCCGTTCAAGAAGGATGATGTGTTGGCATGGGCGCAAGCACGATGGTCTAAGAGCGCGTATGTAAGAAGTTGTGGGGTGAGAGCACCTTTTGATTGGGATGCTAACTGATCCAGTCACGATATACTGATTGGATGCTTGTTGGATTGTGGGTGTCTCCGCAGTGCATCTGAGTATATCTTTCGCGCGAGAAAGGCTTTTCCGAAAGAACTGATATTCGAAGATCACGAGAAGACTTTGTGGAAACACTTACGGTCTCACTTTGAACGTGAAGGAGAGTCTGCTGAGGATGTGGATGTAGAAGAGTATCCGGACAAAGGTTTCGTTCGTCGCGAACGATACCCTTGGAACCACCATGAGCCAGACCGCTTCTCGAAGGAGTGCCTCGACTTTCTCAACGAGGAGCTCGCGGATATTGCACCGAGGCTAGAGGTTAGGGCGTCTGAACTGCCTATACTCAACACCACCCTGATCTCCAATGGAACAACACCGGAGAACCGATATACCAAGCAGCTGGGCTTATTTGCAAAGGACGACATAACCCCTGGCTCGACTGTTCTAGAGGAGAAGTCGTTACTTACCGCCATATCAAGACTTCATGAGTCGTATTGCGATGCTTGTGTTATACCACTTTCGAACGGAGATGATACAGTAATGTCCTGTGAAGAGTGTGACGAGGTATTTTTCTGTAGCGAGGAGTGTCACGACCTAGCACAGGACCACTATCATCCTGCACTTTGTGGTGTTAGTGTAGATCAGGGAAAGGTACCTGCACGTGAAGCAGCAGACTACCTCTATTTCCTTCTACTTGTTCGCGCACTAGCATTATCAGAAACCCAAGACGTTCATCCTCTGGAGCTGAAGGAAGTGCGATATATCTGGGGCGACTACCATGGTCAAGACCTAGATGTTGCATGGCAAGCGGCTTCTTCAGGTGGCTCAAGCGACGCATTCACGGGACTACCGCAAACACTACCTTTTTCATTTAAGAGTAACGTACTCATGCCATTGCATGTTCTAGAGAAGATGGACATCAACATCTTCACGCAAAGTCAGCGCTACGATACCTGGATCTTCAACACGCTGTATGCGAAATTCCGCGGAACAGCATCAGCACGACAGGGTCTTGATGGAAGGCCTGAGATTAGCGCGGTCCATCCGATGTGGTGCCTCGCGAATCACAGCTGCGATCCAAACGTGGCTTGGGAGTGGCGTGGCTCAATGCGGTTCTGGACCCGTGAGGAGTTGGTTGACTGGAAGGGAAGAGACCCGAGCATAGGGCCTGGTCTCAAGAAGGATGAAGAGGTGTTTGGCCACTACTGCGACGTACGTCTGTCAGTCAAGGACAGGCGAGAGTGGGCCTCAGGAGCACTTGGTGGAGATTGTATGTGTGCTAGATGCGTCTGGGAAGAGGCGGAGGAACGGAAGCAAGGTGCTTTGCAGTAAGGCTCTTGCCGTCGCCCGCAGTATCGGGTCTATTTTGAGGGAGAAGCGGTCAAGGTGTAGAGTTGGCTGCGTCATATTACCGAATACTAGTAGACGAACACGGGGTCGATGCACAAGCGAGGTGCAGGACGTGGGGATCTGGTGCGACACGAGTATACAGAAGTGGCTTCGACTGGAGATATCGGCAATCGCGCCATATCAAAACCATCTCCCGACCAATCCTGATAGCCGTGGGGGCGGCATATCACAACGGCAAAGATCAGACCATAATCCAACGGAGCGGGAACATCCGATCTTCGTCACGATGCAGATCGAGGGTCCTGCACCTCGTGGGAAGCTGCATATGCCGTTTTCAAGTAACCTCAATTGGCATGTATTTGTCTCACCTTCAATCCCAGTCATCTCCACTAACGGCAAGACAGCCCACGCCGACAGGCGTCACAAGCAGGCGAACTTTTCGTGTAGCGTCATTCCATCATCCTTTTGGTCCCCACTCGGCTGCGTGTATATGGACAGTATCCGATCGGTGTGCTGCCTGCACTTGCCTCACTTTTCCAGTGTCCTTCCAACCTCTAGCTTGTAGTCT